TTGTTCAAGGCCAGTTGCCATTTGATCAACCCTTCTGGCCTCACCAAGAAGCTGGAAAAGATGTTTCAAGAGCTTCAGTGCTTTGTTCCTGGCATGGTGTACTCAAAGCGCTGCATCTTGCAGAATGGGGCAACTTGTTACAAAGATGATGTTGTATTCATGCAAAAGCATCCTGGTGGCAATGAGTTTTGGCAGTGTGGTCAAGTCAAGCATTTCTTTGATGCAGCAGGCTTGTTGCTGTGCCTGGTGGACATGTTCACACTTCTTGGCCTCAGGGCTGGCACAGAATCTAGCAAATGGCAAGCAGGTGGTGCTTTGAAGTTGGTGGATGTGAGAGAAGTGCTGCAGCCTGTCATCCATTCACATGGAAAGGATGGCACACTCACCTGTTTGACCCCTGCACTTTTGTCTTGCCCAGAGTGAAAAATCTGTTTCACAATTGCACATAGTTTTTGGAAGCTTGTGTTCTGGTACGAGGTTAGCTTTTGCAAGCTTATGTTTTGGCATGTGTAGGCTACAGCCTGTATAGGCCTGCAAATGCTACATTTGCCATTGAAGGCTATACAGCCTGTATAGGCTCTTGAAGTGTTTGCTTGTTTTTCATCACCAAATGCCAAATCAGCTGCTTGTGGCACCAATCTTTGGATTGTTTGTATTTTTTGTTTTTGTATTTTGGAAAGCCAAACCAAATGGACAATGCAGTACATTTTGTTGTCATTAGTATACCTGCAGAAGCGTTCCAGGTTGGTGCCCATCTTTCATATAGTGTATGACTTTTAAATGTTCAATGCCAACATGTTTGGTTGAAACATTCGTGGGATTTACTTGTGCATGTACCTGCTTTCCTTTTTTTTGGAGTTTAAAAGGAACACATTGTGTTTTTGGCCGACAAAAAACAAAAATATATTTTACATTTTTAAAAAATTTGACTTTGGAATTTTTAAAAATCAGCTTTTACTAACTAGTTATAACTAGTTACTAACTCTTTAGCTAATGCTCTTAACAGCCATAACTCATTAGCAAAACCAGCAGCTTCAAAGTAATGCGTTTGTTCAAACATTCAGTTGCGCTGACCTTTCATTCCTGCGGTTTTGCAAGTCAAGTGCTAAGTATTCACTTAAAGGGCTAATGCTCACCGCGAATTGCCTGAAGACAAGCTCCACGGAGCAACCTTCTCAAGTGTGTTTCGCAGCTTCTTCCCACCGTGGTAAGCTGTGTGATCCCTACGGGGCGCTGTTACCGAGAGAACCTTCTCACTCCTCACCGTGGGAGTAATTTCTCTGAGTTTTCTGAAATCCATTCGACTGAATTTTCCTGCTCGAAATCAGCTTGTTCGGAGTGTCTCACCTTGCACACGTGAATTTTACTGCAGAGTTCACTGAAATTCTTACTGAAGTATACTGCAGAGTTCAACTGAATCAAGTCTCACCCAGAAGCCATCACTTTCAATTTGAATTCTTTTCTTTTCAACTTTTCAATTTTTCAAGATTTTCATTTTGATTAGAGTCTGTGTCTTGCTCACTCCTCCACTTTGCAGTCATACATACCAGATTTTCGAGATCTACACTGTCGTACATATTTATATACACCACTTTGATTCGATTTGCAGAGCCGAGACTTTCAGTACAGTGGCTGAACTACAATGTTTACAGTCGGTGATTCCCTTTGCGTTCAATTGCCTACAATCAAGATACCACACCTTACAACAATACACCTACCCTCCAGACATTGCTCACACTACAGTACAGCCAGTATCAGCGTTGCCCAGCACTGTTACCAGAGAACGGCGGACAAGTCACACCCTCAGAAGCCCAGTTTTCCGCAAGCAACACAGCTACCAGCACTGGCTACGATCAGCACCTACCAAAACAAGCCGCGCCTACCTTCCTCAAACAACACTGCTATCAGCGTCAGTCCTACCAGCGCTGCTACCGGCAACCTCCCCTCAACCACATTCACAACAGCCAACCCTGTTTCCAGCCATCATACCCACCCCACTCTCCACAAAGATCAAACACATCGCACCCCCACCAGCACAAGCGCAGCAACACACACCGCTACCAGCATCAGTCCTACCAGAACTTTTCCCACAAACAGCGCTACATAACAAGGGGCGCCTAACACCGGGGCTCGGTGGCTCACACCCCGGGGCCTCAAAATTGACAACGACAAAACACCGCAGGCACAGATTTTGCCCGCACCAGCGCTACCCAAACACGCCACACCCTCACAAGCGTAAATCAACACCCAACACCGCTACCAGCATCAGTTACACCGGTGCTGCTCCCACAAGCCGCCCTACTGCTCCAATCACACCCTCACAGGCACACTTTCCACCAACAACACTTCCACCAACAACACTCCCACCAGCCTCAGCCCCGTTCACAGCGCAGTGCCACTGCTACCAGCAGCACCACCTAAACAAGCCACATCCTCACAAGTCCTTTTTCCACAAACAGCACTGCTATCAGCATCAGTCACACCAGCACTGCCTCTGCTGCTATCAGCATCAGTCATACGAGCGATGACGAGAAGCTCACCGAGCAAAAACACAACAAGAAGCCACGACCCAACTGGAAGCACGTTGCCAGAGTTCTCCACAAAACAGAGGTCGCTTGCAAAGACGGTGGAAAACTCCCCAAAACCTGTTTTCACGCAGGGGACATGCATTGCAGAGCTCATTGACAGTACGCTCAACACTTTTACTAGTTGCGCCGATTACGGCTTTCTGTGTGTGTCAAACCCCGTTTCCAGGGGCACTACTCTCTACTAATTCTCCTTTCTTTCATTGTCAATGTACAGTTTGCAACAGCAGGGGCCCATGGGCACATGGATGGCATGGGCCAACGAAGACCCATCCATGTTGCCGTGAAAACGTACCTGCACAACTTTTTTGACATATTTTAAAGAGCTAATGCGTTTGTTCAAACATTCAGTTGCGCTGACCTTTCATTCCTGCGGTTTTGCAAGTCAAGTGCTAAGTATTCACTTGAAGGGCTAATGTTCACCGCGAATTGCCTGAAGACAAGCTCCACGGAGCAACCTTCTCAAGTGTGTGTTGCAGACTTTGACACGTGAGTTTTTGAGGACGTCTCGTACGAAACGCTTGTTTTGGAGACTTGATGTGTGACTTTTGGAGGAAGTCTCGTACGAAAAACGCTCGTCTTGCAGACTCGAAGCGTGAGTTTTGGAGGAAGTCTCGTACGAAACGCTCGTTTTGCAGACTTGAAGCGTGATTCGAAGCCTCGCCTGCCCCGGCGTGTCGCTGGTGAGATGATTGGTGGTATCGCGCGATATGTTTGCGTTCGTGATGTCGCAGCGCCATGCGGATTTGCGCGGCCTTGGTGGGAAGTGCGTTTGCGCGGCGCCGCGCCACTGGGAATTAGGGCGAAACATGCTGGTGTAAACGCGGCGCGTGGCTGGTGAGCGGGATGATTGGTGGTATCATGTGATATGCTTGTTTCTAGTGTGCGGGCAGACCGTGTGGCGAAAATACGTTCGTGATGTCGCAGTGCCACGCGGATTTGCGCGGCCTTGGTGGAAAGTGCGTTTGCGTGGAGCGCGAAACATGCTGGTGTAAACGCGGCGTGTCGCTGGTGAGCGGGATGATTGGTGGTATCGTGTGATATGTTTGCTTCTAGTGGGCGGCGGACCGTGTGGCGAAATTACGTTCGTGGTGTCGCTGCGCCATGCGGATTTGCGCGGCCTTGGTGGGAAGTGCGTTTGCGATGCGCCGTGCCACTGGGCAGCGCGAAACATGCTTGTGTAAACACGGCGTGTCGCTGGTGAGCGACTAGAGCGTCCCACAAGAGTGTCCTAGAAGAGTGTCCAACAAGAGTGTCCCGTAAGAGTGTCCCACAACAAGAGTGTCCGAGAAGAGTGTCCCATAAGAGTGTCCCACAGGAGTTTCCTACAAGAGTGTCCCAAAAGAGTGCCCCGCAAGAGCTTCCTACAAGAGTGACCCACAAGAGTGTCCTACAAGAGTGTCCCACAAGAGTGTCCTACAAGAGTGACCCACAAGAGTGTCCTACAAGAGTGTCCCGTAAGAGTGTCCCACAAGAGTTTCCTACAGGAGTGGAGTGTCCTACACGCATGCCCCACAAGAGTGTCCTACAAGAGTGACACACAAGAGTGTCCTACAAGAGTGTCCCGTAAGAGTGTCCCACAAGAGTTTCCTACAAGAGTGACCCACAAGAGTGTCCTACAAAAGTGTTCTACAAGAGTGTCCCACAAGAGTGTCCCACAAGAGTGTCCTACAAGAGTGTCCCACAAGAGTGTCCCACAAGAGTCTCCTGTAAGAGTGACCCTCAAGCGTGTCCTACAAGAGTGTCTCACAAGAGTGTCCCACAAGAGTGTCCGACAAGAGTGTCCCATAAGAGTGACCCACAAATGTGTCCTATAAGAGTGTCCCACAAGAGTGTCCTACAAGAGTGTCCGACAAGAGTGTCCCATAAGAGTGACCCACAAATGTGTCCTACAAGAGTGACACACAAGAGTGTCCTACAAGAGTGTCGCGTAAGAGTGTCCCACAAGAGTGTCCTATAAGAGTGTCCCACAAGAGTGTCGTCCAAGAGTGTCCCGTAAGAGTGTCCCACAAGAGTTTCCTACACGAGTGACCCACAAGAGTGTCCCACCCAAAAGAGTGCCCCGCAAGAGCTTCCTACAAGAGTGACCCACAAGAGTGTCCTACAAGAGTGTCCCACAAGAGTGTCGTACAAGAGTGTCCCACAAGAGTGTCCCACAAGAGTGTCCTACAAGAGTGTCATTTGGACATATGTAGCTTTTCGAACGTGTTTGCATTCGGGTTTGTGGGCTCCATCTTGTTTACTGTAATTTACAAATGAAAAGTTCACTCTGACTTAAGGATGGTTGCGAACATGTAACCCCAAAATGCTTGGTGTGTGTGTAGTTCTCTTGGAGGGTTTTGAGTGGGGTTTCATTCATTTTAGGTATCACAGGTGGGGGCGGCCTGCTGTTGGATTCAGGTGCTGCCGGGCATCTTTGGCTCACAAATAATGCCCTCCTGTCGGAGGAGATCTGCTTGTCCTGCACGATGCACTGCGCAGACCTGTTGGACTTGAAACTTTGCAAGCCTTTTCTGCGCAGCCTTATAGAGTACCCATGTCACCACGCTCCTCTGCTTGATAAGCAAAGGGCTTGTGAAGCTGCTTGCAACAGAAAAACATGTTCCTTTTTCACCACGCCACCCATTCTGTGCACATGACCATCGCACTATGTGTACAAATATCACGCTTGCTTGCTCCAAGAAACCATTCAAAACAAACACACATTGATGTTCCCCCTTCAACAACGACAAAAACTGATCTCCATGTTACTTTGCAAACTGCAAGCGCGCTTGCTCCGCGGTCCTCGGCGCGTTGGACTATGCTCTTCCGAAGCAGAGCTGTCGCTGTCCTGGAGCCACTCATACCAACGTTAATTACTACTGTAATACTTTTCCATGTGTGGCGATTCAATGTATGCGATTTCCACCAACCAAGTGATTTCCCTGAAGTGATACAATTGTGGTAACTTTCTCCGTATGAGTCCTCCGTGGGTTCTTCAGAGAGCTTTACCATGCTGAGCCACACATCTGATCCTTGCAACGAAGTCGCTTCGGCACGAATGGTCGAATGACGTCGGATGTCATCTGTCCAAGTAGTGAAGCCCTCATTGTTATATAAGTCTTTCATTGTGTTTCCAACTTTCCAGTATGACAACTGTCTTCTTTGCCGTTGGCCAAAAGAGCTTTTCCTGCTTGAGCCTGTGATGTCTTGAGCATGTTTGCTTCTGCGGCGAAGCTTGTTCGCTTTCGGCTCTGTAGAGCACATTCAGCGCCGGAAATCGCTGTCGCTGCCCTAGAAATTGCAAGCGCCCAGGCGCAGTACTTTGTAAACCTAGAACTGCACATTTCGTAGCAGGCGGAACATTTGGTGGAGTTTTCTCCAAGTGATCTTGGATGTGTGCTCTCACATAGGTGCTAATATGTTCTCAAATTAGCTGACACCTATACAGCAGCGAAAAGAAACTGAAGGATGCTTCTCTTCTCACATATTAGCATGGAAAGTGATGTCAAATTGTGAATTCAGCAGTTTCAACATCTTGAGGAAGTTGGGCACCTGGGCTGCCAGCTGTGATCAGCTCAGCACAGGCCCGCTCAAAGGCCAAGGGCGCTTGCCTCAAGCTTAGTCCCTTCCTTCTACATCTCCCGTCATCAATCAAATTAATTCTTGGGCAATCTAACACCTGCTCAAATCTATTCAGCAAAAATGACAGGAAGCTGCCAACTGGCCACAAATGTCCTCGACATGCTGTTAATGATGTCGGAAAGTTTGCCCCATGTGCCATGATGGGATCGGGATCATATGAAAACAGTTGAAAACAGATTGAATTTGAATCTTTCTCGAAGCAAAAAGTCCTGGAAACTGCAAACAGCGCCATTGCGCAACAAGTGGATTGCTTAAGTGTGTCTCAACAAGTGTATGGACAAAAACTCTTGTTTGACATGCGACTAGGATGGACAAGGTGAGAATACAGGAAACTCATTTGGCCACCATGAGCGACAAATAGGATTCAGCCAAGAGTCTCATCCAACGGCTCAGGGGCTGAGACCTCCTCCAGCGGGAAATGCAGCGGCATTGTCAATTGTTATAGTGTGCTTCAAATAGTCTCTAAGTCAAGCCAAACATATCCCGAAATACACCAAGTTATATAAGTGAGCACTGACAGTTATTCTGTGAAATGATAGGTGCTGGATCTGGAGATGTGTCTGGAGATGTGGTGGTGTGGTTCAATGCAAAAGCGTCAAGGACAGAAGTCACTACTAGATCTACTAGCATTGACGCTCAGGCCATGGTGCTGACTCTTCTCCACTTCGTTGTTGCAGTGTGCCCCTCATTGCAAAAAAAGTACATTCAGGTGTCAAGAAAAACAACAGCTGTGCACGTCAGGGCAGCAAACAAATACAGACAGTTGGTGATTCTGTAAATGGATCCGTCCACCGTCCACCCTTGCTCGTGAAATACTTTGTTGAGGTGTTGTCTGGACCTGACAACTTTTTGAGGTAAACAACAACCAACATCATCTAAGGCTTCATAAACCCTAGGCCAACCTCCAGCCTGTGATGCTGCTTATGCCTTTGATTAGCCTTTGATGGAATACGTTAATGTTCGGCGCATCGCATGAATCCAAAGAGGGAAGTTGTGGAAAGCCTGCGAGTGTTTGCCTTGCGTCCTCAAGTTCTACACTCACAGTCGGGTCACTCACAAGTCAATGTCAGATCTAGTCATTGATGAAAGGTACTGCCGGTCTTACACGACCGACTACACACAAGACTGCTGTTCTGCGAGTCGAGGGGGGTCCCTACGGCCCTACAACCTGCTCAAGTCTATTTGCTGGTGTCGTTTCAGACCCCATTCTTGTTTGGAGGCTTGTTGACTCGTTGTTCTTGCAAAACTGTGGATGAATTCACAAGTCCCCTAGATCCTCAGGGGCAAAACTGGGAGGATACGCAAACAAAATCCAAGTATACACACAACATATTCAGAATAATTCAATTCAATGCATCCAAACTGCGTCAAAAGGCTTGCAATAACTCGGCGCTCTCGGGTGTTCTGCCACAGTTCCCGCCGCTGAGTGGAGAGGATCCGACTGCTATACCTTCACAAATTCAGCCAATGTCAAAGTCAAAGTCAACCAATACAGTATATCATGTGACCATCGTGTGACTGACATGTGACATATGTATACAATACGATGTACAGTAATCATGTGTACAGGGGAAAAAAGGCTGGCTGAACGTGAGCAGGGCAGTCACACTGAGGACTTAGTAAGTCTTCCTGTAGTCAGTTTGCGTGTCATATTAGGAAGTCAGGTCCACACAGGCCAAAACCAGTAGTATACTGAACGGATTGATGTAAAGAGTTGTTTGCAAACATATGCAAAAATACAGATTAGGAAGTCAAATTGTAAACCACCAAACTGTCGGATGGAGGGGAACAAGAACAACCACTTGGGAAGGCAATTCAAGATCTTCCGTGGTTGCTGTGATAGACTGCTGCTGAGGGACATGAGCTCCCCAGCTGTCTGTCCAGCTTTCAGCAAACGGTGCAGTAAGACCAAGAGCGAAGCGTCCCGGAGTGCCGGTAAAAAGCTTGCCAAGCCGTCTGGCCTCAGCTTCATTGCCAATATATATATATACATTACATGTGTACATCACTACTGTTCAGAGTACTTCCCAGACTT